CAGACTGGAGTGCAGTAGTACAAAATCATCTCACTGCAACCTCTGCCTCCTGGGTTCAAGTGATTCTCCTGCCTCACCCTCCTGAGTGGCTGGGATTACAGGCGCCTGCCACCACACCCGGCTAATTTTTTGTATTTTCAATAGAGATGGGGTTTCACCATGTTGGCCAGGCTGGTCTCCAACTCCTGGCCTCAAGTGATCCATCCACCTTGGCCTCCCCAAGTGTTGGGATTACAGGCATGAGCCATGGCGCCCAGCTGCCAAGGTATATTTTTGAGCTAAAAAAAAAAAAAAGTCCTTACAAGTTAAAAAAAAGAAAAAAACCGGGAAACTAGGAGTGGAGGCTCATGCCTGTAATCCCAGCACTTTGGGAGGCCAAGGTGGGCAGACTGTGTGAGCCCAAGAGTTTGAGACCAGCCTGGGCAATGTAGTGAGACCCCATTTTTACACAAATATAAAAAAAATAGCCAAGCGTGGGGGCACATGCCTGTAGTCCCAGCTACTCGGGAGGCTGAGGTGGGAGGATCGCTGGAGCCCAGGAGGTCAAGGCTGCAGTGAGCCATGTTTGCACCTCTGCACTCCAGCCTGAGCGACAGAGCAAGACCCCGCCTCAAAAAAAGGAAAATAAAAATGAAAAACCAAAACCTAAGCATGAAAATTGGGTTTTCATGCTATTGTATGATGTGTGCCTCCCTCAAAACTTGTTACATCATCACATCACCCACCGATGTGAAAAAGAAAAAAAAACCCAGAAACCCAAACTAAAAATATTTGCAAATCTATAGTGTTACGGGTTGCACTGTGTCTCCCTGCAAGATGCTGAAGCCCTAAGCCGCAGTATCTGTGAATGTGACCTCATTTGGAAATAGGGTCTTCACACATGATTAAGCTAAGCTGAGGTGATGAGGGTGAACCCTAATCCCGTGTGCCTGATGTCCCTGTAAAAAGGGGATGTGTGGACATCAGACACCTACAAAGGGAAGATTATGTGAAGACGGAGACAGAAGACCACCTCCAAGCCAAGGAGCTCTGGAAGTTTCTAGAATCCAGGAGCGAGACCTGGGACAGATCCTCCCTGACAGCCTTCACAGTGGGGGAAAAAACAGAAAAACCTCGATTTCAGACTCCTGGCCTCCAGAACTGTGAGAATAAATCCCTGTAGCTGAAGCCACACAGTTAGGGTACTTTGTTAAGGCAGCTCTGGGAAATGAATACAGATTTCTTGGCACGTGCATCAATACTTCTGCAGGAAATCTCGGACGCGGCATGCTTTAACTTACAATTTATACCTTTCTCTATTCTGAATTCTTTTTTTGAGAGACAGGGTCTTACTTTGTCGCCCAGGCTGGAGTGTAGTGGCACAAGCATGGCTCACTGCAGAGCCTCAACCTTCTGGGCTCCAGCGGTCCTCTTGCCTCAGCCTCCTGAGTAGTTGAGACTACAGGCACACGCCACTGTGCCTGGGTAACTTTTTAAAATGTTTTGTAGAGACCGGATCTTGCTAAGTTGCCCAGGTTTATCTCGAACTCCTAGCCTCAAGTGATCCTCCCACCTTAGCCTCCTAACTTTCTGTAATTACAGGTATAAGCCATTGTACCTGGCTTTCATTTTATTTATTTATTTATTTATTTATTTATTTTGAGACAGAGTCTCACACTGTCTCCCAGGCTGGAATGCAGTGGCATGATCTCAGCTCACTGAAACCTCCGCCTCCTGGGTTCAAGTGATTCTTTTGCCTCAGTCTCCCAAGTAGCTTGGATTACAGGCACCCACCACCACACCCGGCTAATTTTTGTATTTTTATCAGAGGCGGGGTTTCACCATTTGGCCAGGCTGGTCTCGAACTCCTGACTTCAGGTGATCCACCCGCTTTGACCTCCCAAAATGCTGGAATTACAGGCGTGACCCACTGCATCCCGCCTGAATTCTTAAAAGCATGTTTTTGTGTTATTAATATTCATTTTTAACATCAATGACGGTGGAATTTGAGTCCATTTTTTTCTTCTTTATACATTTCTGGGTAACAGAACTAACACTTGTTAACCGGCAGGTAGAAAGGGAAGATCCCAGAGGTGGTGGCAATAGTTAACAGGGCTCTGGGACCCGGGCAGGAAATCCCTGGGGAGGTGGCAGGTGCCGACACAGGTGGGCCAAGGGTGTGGAGCAAACCTTGATGTAGTAGACATCCCTGTCATCCAGTATCAACTCCAAGTGACCCACGTGGGCACTCCCAAGAGCCTCCATCTTTCCTGGGGGTACAAAACGAGAGTTTAGAGACAAGCTTTCAACATCTAGATCTGGTCCCTCCATTCCCCTGGGAGGACCGCCTGCCCATTTTTTAATCTCTGAGCCTAAGATGCAGCACCTGTAAAATGGGGCTGGATTTCAGGAGGTCACAGACAAACCTGTGAGCCAGCTCACTGTAGGGGCCCAGCCCTGGGTGTGGCACCGAGTCAGGGGCGCAGGGAGCAGGGAGGGATGTTGACATTACCGTCCAGCTCGATTTTCTTCTTGGGATGGAGAAGCTTGAGCCGGAACTTGCTCTGGGGCAAGCTGTAGCTGACGTCCACCCTGACATCCCTTGGCACTTCTGACCCCGGCGTGCCCATGAAGATGTGGGCTGTGGCTTCTTGAGGGAACCAGCTGTCCTTCTGGAAACAGCAGAGTCCTCAAGACTGAGAGCCTCCACCTCCATCCTTCAGACCCTAGCACAGTTGTCCTCATAATTCCCTAATGAGGAGTTTCTCCGGCTTCAAAATCGCCTGCAGAAGTGTAAAGCTCTGCAGCACAGCCCAGGTCCACGCCCACAGGGTCTCAATTTATCCAGCAAATGGCCAGGGAGAAGCAGCTGCAGGGCACACCCCCGGTATCCTGTACAAACCCCTCCCATCCTTTTTTGTTTTGAGACCCAGTCCCACCCTGTTGCCCAGGCTAGAGTGCCGAGGCATGATCTCGGCTCACTGCAACCTCTGCCTCCCAAGTTCAAGTGATTTTCCTGCCTCAGTCTCCTGCGCAGCTGGGATTACAGGTATGCGCCAACAAGCCTGGCTAATTTTTGTTTTGTTATTTTTGGTAGAGACAGGGTTTTCACTATGTTGGCCAGGCTGGTCTTGAACTCCTGACCTCAAGTGATCCACCTGCTTTGGCCTTCCAAAGTGCTGGGATTACAGGCGTGAGCCACTGCACCCGGCCTCTCCCATCCTTTTAACCAGCTTTGTGTCCTTGTCCCCCAGCTTCTGCAAGCTCTGCACTTCCTGGCTGTCACCTGAGGGCTCCAGAACATTGCCCTCCAGCACTGCAGTCAAAACTCCCAGCACCCTAGCCCAGAGGGGAACACACTCTGCAAGCACCTCGTGCTCTGGGGCTCCCCGTGGGGCCAGGCTGAGGCTGCAACTTCACCTGAAATTGCAACCCTCCCAGCATCTTCCCCCGGCCTGTCCTAATTTCTTCGCTCTTACTGGGTCCCCCAGAGCCTTTTCTTAATAAATCACTTGTACCCGAGTCCAAGGCTTGGGTCTCTTTTCGGGAAAGTGCAGCCTCAGCCACAAGCCCCGTTCTGAAATGCCACGGCAGCGTACATCTGTTCAACACCAACAGAGACGCGCTGCTGAGTGGAAGACGACTGAGCATGAGACATGCAGAGTCCCCGACCGCACGGAGCCTGCGTCCCAGTGAGGACGCACAGGACCACCAGACGCAAGAATGGTAAGACAGCAACCTCCGGTGAGTGTGCTGGCAAAGTCAATGGTTTAGGGGCCCTGACTAGGGCACTGGTCTAGACAGAGGGGCCTGGGAAGGCCTGAGGGGTCCCATTGAAGGACACTTGAAAGGAGCGAGGGAGGGAGTTAGGTGGCTGTGCCGGGGAAGAGTGCTCCCGGCAGGGGAAACAGCCAGTGCAGAGGCCCTGGGGCAGGCATGCGCATGGCCTTGAAAAGGGGGCCAGTGTGTCTTCAGGGCAGTGAGTCTCCAGGAGAGTCAGGGAAGGAGGCCAGCAGGGGCGGGACTGCCAAGGGCCTGTGGGTCACGGCGTCTGGCTCTTACTCTAAGGGTAACAGGAGCCACAGCGGGGTGGTTCATGCAGAGGAGGGACACGATCCAGCTAGGATTTCAGAGGGCCCACCTGGCTGCTGGTTAAGATGGTAAGGAGACCAGAGCAGGAGCTGGGGGGTCAGACAGGAGGCCGCTGAGTGCCTCCTCTGGACCAGATGCTGATGACACAGGGGTAATTAAAACAAACCCTGAATCTGCTCCCAGGAACTGAGTCACCAGCAGGGAAGACAGACATTAACTAGCTAGCTTCACTGAGAAACAGAAGTGATCAAAAGGGAAGAAACATGGATGTCTTAAGACAAGTCACAGAAGAATATGATGTGCTCTGGGGTAACCAAGGCAGGCTTCCCTGAGGAAGTGACCCCTGAAATGAGATCTGAAGACTGATTCAGAGTTAATGCGTCATACAGCCCCAAACAGAGAATCAGTATGTGCAAGGGTCCAGAAGAAACCTACAGCAAGAGCAGCGCAGCCCAACAGCGCCACAGAGGAGCCCCACATCCTTTTGGGAGAGCCCAGTGCTGACCTAAGGAGACCCATGACATGGCTAAGAAAGACAGGGCTGTTCCCTAGAGCCCACCTGGGGCTGCAGGGTATATGCAGCTTCCAGCAGATACTGTCGGAGCCCCGGGTCCCGCTTCTGCAGCGTCACGGCCGTGAACACAGGCAATGAGAGCAGGTAGGGCTGGCCAGGCACCGGCCAGGTCACTTCAGTGCACAGCCGCCAGCCCCAGGTGTAGGACACTGCAGAGAGAGGTAAGCAGGCAGCCCTGGTCAGTGGAGACCCAGAGGGCTCTGGGCATGGGCGCCCACCGCTGCCACATCAGCGAAGAAAGCACTTGTCTGATTTCTTCTGAAGAAAGGCACTATGTAGACAGGAATCCTGTGAGGCAGTGCTGTGTAGACCAGGGTTTCTCCACCTCAGCACTACTGACATTTGGGTTCAGATCATCTTATCTGGGGGGCTGTCTTGTGCATTATAGGATGTTTTGCTGTATCGTGGGTCCCTATCCGCTAGATGCCAGTTACCCTTACCAACAATCAAATATTTCTGCACATATTACCAAATGTCTCCTGTGGGGTCAAAACTGCCCCAGCTGAGAACCCCTGGTAGACTTTTTTCTTTTTTTTTTTTTCACACAGAGTCTCGTTCTGTCACCCAGGCTGGAGTGCAGTGGCACAATCTCAGCTCACTGCAACCTCTGCCTCCCAGGTTCAAGTGATTCTCCTGCCTCAGCCTCCTGAGTAGCTATATCCTAGAGAGGAGGCACAGGATTACCACACACAAGAACGCGTAAGACGGCAGCCGCCAGTGAGTGTGCTGGCAAAGTCAATGGTTAGGGGCCCTGACGGGGGTGCTGGTCTGGACAGGGGGTCCTGGAAAAGCAGCCTCTGAGGGGTTCCATTGAAGGACACTTGAAAGGAGCAAGAGAGGGAGTTAGGTGGATGTCCTGGGGAAGAGTATTACTGGCAAGGGAAACACCCAGTGCAAAGGCCCTGGGGCAGGCATTAGTGTGGCCTTGAAAAAGGGGCCAGTGTGTCTTCAGGGCAGCGAGTCTGGAGGACAGTCAGGAAGGGAGGCCAGCAGGGGCGGGACTGCCAAGGGATGATTACAGGCATGCGCCACCATGCCTGGCTAACTTTTGTATTTTTAGTAAAGATGGGGTTTCACCATGCTGGCCAGGCTGGTCTTGAACTCCTGACTTCAGGTGATCTGCCTACCTTGGCCTCCCAAAACGCTGGAATTACAGGCATGAGCTACCGTGCCTGGCTCCTGGTATACTTTTTAAAAAGAGTATCAGGCAATACTGTGCAGAACACAGGCTCTGGAGCAAGAATGCCTGGTTCAAATTCTAGCTCAGCCACTTCCCAGCTGTGTGACCTTGGACAAATTACTTAACCTCTCTGGGTCTCAAAGTTTCTTTTCCATTATTATTATTGCTATTACTCCCTTGACTGACTGTAAGGGCGTCAGTGTTTCTCATCTTGTACTGCTAATGATAATGGTTCCTGTCTCATGGCATAGCTGTGAGGACTAACAGGTCAGTAAGTGTTGAGAACAGCACCGGGCCTACAGTAATGTCTTTTGTAGTAACTCTTATCCCGATTATAAAAATGTACTTGTTGGCTGGATGTGGTCACTCACGCCTGTAATCCCAGCACTTTGGGAGACCAAGGTGGGCAGATCACCTGAGGTCAAGAGTTCGAGACCAGCCTGGCCAACACAGTGACACCCCATCTCTACTAAAAATAAAAAAAATTAGCTGGTCATGGTGGCAGGCACCTGTAATCTCAACTACGCAGGAGAATCACTTGAACCCAGAAAGCAGAGGTTACAGAGCCAAGATTGCGCCACTGTACTCCTGTCTGAGCAACAGCGCAACACACTGTCTCAAAAAAAAAAAAAATGTACTTGTTGCAGGAAGTTAGAAAAATTGAAAGATTTTAAAAATTTGTTCTGTATATGTTCTGTATTGTAAATGAGTTTATTTACAATTCTAAATACAAGTTAAATGCAAAAAAGGAAAATTATCAAGAAGCAAAATTTGTATCTCTTCATTAAAAAGAGCCCTCCCCAACCTTACTCACATATGTATGTATACACATATGCAGACACATATGTATGTATATACATATACACACATGTACACATATATATGGGATTACATACATATATATGTGTGTATATATATTGTAAGATGTGCTATTATTTGGTACATTTACTTCCTGTCTTTTTACCCAGTTGAGATCATATTCAGTGTTGCTGCCTCACACTTGGTATTATTATTAAAGAAGTTTCTCACTAAAACAGCTCACTCATAATGGAATTTAAAAGTTTGGGAGACCAAAGCAGGCGGATCACCTGAGGTCAGGAGTTTGAGACCAGCCTGGCCAATGTGATGAAATCCCATCTCTACTAAAAATACAAAAATTAGCCAGGCATGGTGACATGCACCTGTAATCCCAGCTACTTGGGAGGCTGAGGCAGGAGAATCACTTGAACCTGGGAGAAAGGGGTTGCAGTGAGCTGAGATTACGTCATTGCACTCCAGCCTGGGTGACGAGAGTGAAACTCTGTCTCAGAAAAAAAAAAAAAAAAGTTATGCAGTGTGTCAATCACTTACCAACCCAGGAGCCAGCAAACATTCTTGGTAAGGGGCCAGATTGTTTAGTCAGTTGCCTAGCTAGCTAGCTAGAGACAGAATCCTCCTTGGGCACCCTGGCTTGAGTGCAGTGGCATGAACACAGCTCACTGTTGCCTCGACCTCGACCTCCTGGGCTCAAGTGATCTTCCTGTCATCCTTCCAAGCAGCTGGCACTACTGGTGCATGCCACCATGCCTGGCTACTTTGTTAATTTTTGTGGAGACAAGCCCTCACTACGTTACCCAGGCTAGTCTTGAACTCCTGGACTCAAGGAATCCTCTCACCTCGGTCTCCCAAAATGCAGGGATTACAGGCGCGAGCTAGCTATCCACATCGGCCAGATAGTCAACATTTTATGCTTTGGGGTCATACGGTCTAGCTTGCAAGTACTCAGTTCTGCTGTTGTGGGACAAAGCTATAGGTTATATGCAAATGAAGGGGGTGTGGCTGTGTTCCCATACAACTTTCTTTCTGGACACTGAAATTTCAATTTCATGAAGTTTTCATGATACAAGATATTCTTCTTTTGACTCTTTTTAACCACTTAATGTAACAACCTACGCTTAGCTCACTGGCCCTTATAATTAGCCATTTTGCCTACTCTGGAATATTTGAGTTGCTTCCTATTTTTTGTTCTAAATAATGATGCAACGAACATCTCTGTGCACAGAGCATTTTTAAGTGATTTTGCTTTGCTTTTATAGGGTAGAGTTCTAGAAGCATTATCATTGACTGAAGTGGTTGGTAAAGGAAAAGAAAGCCAGGTGCAAGTGGCTCATGCCTGTAATCCCGGTACTTTGAGAAGCAGACGCAGGTGGATCACTTGAGCCCAGGAGTTTGAGACCAGCCTGGATAACATGGTAAAATCCTGTCTCTACAAAATACGGGAAAAAAAAAAAAAATTAGCTGGGCAGGGTGGTAAGTGCCTGTAGTCCCAGCTACTCGGGAGGCTGAGGTGGGAGGATCACTTGAGCCTGGGGAGACGGAGGCTTCTGTGAGCCATGATAGCACCATTGCACTCCAGTCTGGGCGACAGAGACCCTGTCTCAATAATAATAATAAAAGTACAATCTTGGGATCCCAATTCGCTATGCCAAAGGAAAATATTAAGCTGGAAGCGGAGTCATGCAAAAAGCTGCCTTCTCTTTTGTTCCTAAGCAGGTAGCTACAGATAAAAGGTTAAATATTTGCGCAGCTATTCTATGTTCACCTTATTTTATGTAAGGTGTTGATTTATTGAGCAGGGATTAATATATAAGTGACTATTCCCCTCCCTGTTCCTTTCCTCTTGCAGCCTGTGGATTCAGTCACATGACCATACCCTCCCTCTTTCCCCTCCAGCCTTCTTTTCCCCTTTAAACAAAGGGAGGGAGAGTATTAGGACAAATACTAATGCACGCGGGGCTTAAAACCTTGATGACGGGTTGATGGGTGCAGCAAACCACCATGGCACATGTATACCTATGTAACAGACCTGCGCGTTCTGCACACGTATCCCAGAACTTAAAGTAAAAACAAAACAAAAAAAACCTAAAAACAAAAAAAAAAAACCTTGAAGCTTTCAGAATCATCTCTGGAAAAAGGCAAAGACCACAGATAGTTCTGTGGATTTGTGTTCCTTTATTTCCAAGCATGTCCTTAACCTTGGCAAAGTAAACGTCTAAATTGATTGAGACCTGTCTCAGATACTTTTTGGTTTACAGAATATGAATACTTTTAGGGCAGGAGAGCAACTCTGGGATCTGGAGCTGGCATTTCTCCCTTCAACCCCAGGATGCCCACCTTGGGACGATGGCATGGAGGCCTCGCTGCCTACCTTCCTCACCAGTACAGGACTGGGCCTCAGAAGAGCCAGGGATGTGTCTGAGGCTCCTCACGCCATCCCTGGTGATGAGGTACAGCTGAGAGCTGGGTAGGGAAAGAGGACAGTGTCAGACACCTCATTTTCATTCATTCATTAGACAAGTAACACCTTAAGCTGCCAGAGCTTGGCACAGGGGCAAATTCTACCCTGAACAGGGCCAGCCTTTGGGCAGTGCACACGCTGGTCGAGTGACACTCCATGGGCACAGGGACAGATGCTGAGGACCACAGAGAGTGACAAGTGCTGTGAGAAACCCACATGGAGGTAGCACGGCAGGGGGCTGTCTCAGGGATAGAGCAGGGCCTCCCCTAGCTGCAGTAGAGGGAGTTCTCTGCAGAGGTAACATTTGAGCAGAAATCCAAAGGATGAGAAGGAGGTATTTTCCAGACAGAGGACACAGCAGGTGCAAAGACCCTCGGGTAGGAACGAGCTGGCCGCTTTAGGAGCATGGAAAGAAGGCTGGCGGGAGGGGGTCAGGATGGAGGGGGACAGTGAGTGAGAGGCAGCAAACAGGGGCAGGTGGGAGGAGGCAGGAGCCAGGTAGGCAAAGTCTCCATGGGACAGGATTAGCGAAAGAATGTGGGTAGGTAGGGCAGCCTGGACTCTCACTCCCTCTGAAATTGCCCCTCTCCAAGAGTCACCTCGCTACGGGTCACAGACAAGCATGCCCCAGAGGGACTGCAGGAAAGAGCTGAGGGGTCTGAAAGTTCTCCAGCTGTCATCTCTCAGCTGCCCACGGTCCCTGTCAGACACACCCACCCCTCACAGTCAACAGGCACACAGGCTTGTGGACACACATGCACTCCCATAACACACTCACTCCTCACTGACACACTCACGGACACACCCTCATGCACACAGCAGCTCACACACTCGCTTATATGCCAGATTATGTGTACTCAGACACAGGTTCATGGGTGCACATACTAACACACCTGCATGCTAATGTCACATCCATACCCATGCACATCCCCATGCACACATGCAGACATGTGATCACACACTCACATGCATGCACACACACCTGCTCACCTGCACCCTCACGCTCATGGTTCCCTTTCTGCCAGCACTGGGCACCCACCTGAAGCTGAGCAGCTCCATGGCCTCCTCGGGCATGTTCAGATGCACCTTGAGGTCCTGGCCCTTCTGCACCTGGATCCCGCCATCCAGGCTGGTGGCGCCACGGACGCTGGTCACCCACCTCAGCCCGGCCTGCCCCAGGGTGCCCGCTGTGCCCATCTGAGCCGAGATCTGGAGCAGGGCACTGAAGGACAGGCATGTACCAGCTACATCCCGAGGGCCCTGGGGCCACAGACCCCGCCTACCACCCCCAGCAGCCCCCTTCAGTCTTGAGCCACAGCAGCCCCTCCACCACTGCCCCCCACAGGCTGTACATGCACCAAGCACTTTCCAGTCCTCACCTGCACTAATCCCTCTTACGGATGGGGAAACTGAGGCTCAGAGAGGTGAAAGCACCTGCCTGGGTTCCATGACTGGGACAAAGCATGCGGCTGGGACACGTGAACCGTGGCTGTCCTAAGTCCCAGCCCAGGCTCTTCACTCCAGACAGCACCCAGCCTAGAAGGTCCACCCAGGACCCAAGGACAGCTCAGCTGAGGGGCTGGGGACAGATGCTCAGCAGCACCACAGCAGGTTCTGGAATCAGACCAAATATTGCACACATTCTGCTCAGGTGCTCTGGCGCCATGTGGCCCCAGGTTGTCAGTGTCCTCGCCTTCAACCTTGGTTTCCTCATCTGTCAGTGAGAAGAAGCAGCACCAGCCTTGCTTGGTCGGGAGGGGGTTGCACGAGTTCAGTGAGCTCAAGGCTAACTGCTCTCCTCCCTTCTGAGTGGGGTAGATGGAAGGGCATACGGTTGTGGCCAGCCACCTCACATTGCAGTGTGACCTTGAACACGTGACCGGACCTGAGCCTCAGTCTTCCCACCTGTAAAGTGGATCTAACCACCTAGCATCTCTGCACACAGTCTCTTGGCACAGGTGTTCTGCAGAATAGGGATTCCCTTTTGCCCATGTGGATGTCACCCAGGCCTCTGCAGCCCTTTGTAGGGATGGGATCACACCACCTAATCCGTGCCAGCTCCCAGGAGCTAGATACCTGGGCTTGACATAACCATTCATGGAGAAATCCGAGCGCTGCTGGAAGTCAGCGGTTCCTCGGACCCGAATGCTGATGGCAGCTGAAGCGTTTAGGGTCAGCCGGGCAGGAAGGCCAGACACCGTGGGAAAGACCAGCTCCTCTGTGGCCAGGCACAGCCTCCGGTTCATCTGCACCTCCTGCCCCTGCAGTCAAGAAACCGTAAGCAGGGGCCGGGCGTGGTGGCTCATGCCTGTAATCCCACCACTTTGGGAGGCTGAGGTGGGTGGATCACTTGAGCCCAAGAGTTCGAGACCAGCCCGGCCAACATGCGGAAACCCCATCACGACTAAAACTACAAAAATTAGCTGGCGTAGTGGTGCCTGACTGTAGTGCCAGCCACTCGGGAGGCTGAAGCATGAGAGTTGCTTGCACCGGGGAGGCAGAAGTTGCAGTGAGCCGAGATCTTGCCACTGCACTCCAGCCTGGGCAACAGAGCAAGACCCCTTCTCAAAAAGAAGAAAGGAAGAAAGGAAGGCATGCAGAAAGACAGACAGACAGAAAGAAAGAAACCATAAGGGGACACGTGGCCACCCCTGTTGTGAGCCAGGCACCCTCTGAGTACTGAGTACAGTAGATTTCATTTGTCCTCAAAGGGCACGTGATCCCAGTTTCTGGATGAGGAAACTGAGAGCACAAAGATAAAAGTCCCACCAAGGCCCAGTAACTAGAAAGGGATGGAGCTAGGTATTAACCCAGGCAGTTTGCTTATGAGAAAAGGTCAGGGATCAGGTTCAGTCAGGTGGGGAGGAACGTGGATCCTGCCGTTAGTATGCACTGGGCAAGCTGAAAGCATCCTGCTGCATTTTCACCATATTAGCTCCTTTAATACAATTGCTCTATGAATGGATATTCTGGGTTTTTTTGTTTTGAGACTGTGTCACTCTGTCGCCCAGGCTGGTGTGCAGTGGTGTAATCTCTCCTCGTTGCAACCTCTGCCTCCCGAGTTCAAGCGATTCTCCTGCCTCCGCCTCCCAAGTAGCTGGGACTACAGATGCCCTCCACCATGCCTGGGTAATTTTTGTGTTTTTAGTCGACATGGGGTTTTGCCATGCTGGCCAGGCTGGTCTCAAACTCCTGATCTCAGGTGATCCACCCGCCCCGGCCTCCCAAAGTGCTGGGATTACAGGTGTGAGCCACTTCGGCCAGCCAGATATTTTGTTATTTTTTATTTATTATCCCCGTTTCACAGATGCAGAAACTAAGACCATGGTAAGTGAATCAACAGGTTCGAGGAGGTAAATGACAGAGCTGGGATTTGACCTTGGGCAGCCTGACTCCAAATTTCATGCCCTTAAGTGTTATGTTAAAGTGTCACAGGGCAGATGGCATGGGCAGGGGCAGGCAGGAGCTACCTTCATGAGCCTAATGACGAGCTCGGCCAGGTTCAGGGACCGGTGGTTCACGTGACTCCCTGTGGCTCCGCAGTTCACAAAGCTCAGCTCCTGCCCCAGCATCTTCATGCTCAACTCGCATCGCAGAGCCCGCTGGGTGGCCCCACGCCTCTGGGTCACCTGGGGGAGGGCCCAGACAGGTCACAAAGAACAGGGTCAGGGTTAGCAGAGTGATATGCTTTGGCTGTATCCCCACCCAAATCTCATCTTATAGCTGCCATAATTCCCACATGCTATGGGGAGGACCCTATGGGAGATGACTGAACCATGGGGGCGGGTCCTTCCCGTGCTGTTCACGGGATAGTGAATGGGCTCAGGAGATACGATGGTTTTAAAAATGGGAGTGTCTCTGCACAAGCTCTTTCGTTGCCTGCTGTCATCCATGTAAGATGTGACTTCCTCTCCTTGACTTCCACCATGATTTTGAGGCCTCCCCAGCCACTTGGAAGTGTAAATCTACTAAATTTTCTTTCTTTCGTAAATTGCCCAGTCTCTGGTATGTCTTTATCAGTAGCACGAGAACGAACTAATACACAGGGCCAAGTGCCTGTACTTTGGGAGGGGGAAGGGGTGTCAGGAGAGAAACGTCAAGAACTTGTGGGGTCCAGAAGAGGCTTGCAAAACTCCTAGAGCATGAACCAAATCTCAACCCAGATGTGTTTTCTCTGACTTGCACAGTAGTGTCCAATGCTCAGAGTGTGTATGTTTTCATAAAGGTTTTATTCTAGAATAATCTTAGATTTACGGAAGAGTTGAAAACTGACTTGGCATAGTAGCTCATGCCTCTAGTCCCAGCACTTGGGAGGCCGAGAAAGGAGGATTGCTTGAGGCCAGGAGTTTAAGACCAGCCTGGACAGCATATCAAGACCCTGTCTCTACAAAATTAGGAAAAAAAACAAAAACAAAAACAAAAACCCAGGTATGGTGGCAACCGTCTGTAGTTCCAGCTACTTGGGAAGCTGAGGTGGGAGGATCACTTGAGCCCAGGATTTCAAGGCTGCAGTGAGCTATGATCATGCCACTGCACTCCACCCTGGACAACAGACAGAGCAAGACCCTGTCTCTGAAAAAAAAAGAAAAAGAAAAGAAAAGAAAAAAGGAAAATTTGCAAAGACAGTACAGAGAGTTCCCACGTATCATTCAACTGATTTCCCCATTGTTAACATATTACATTACCAGGATGCACGGTGCAAGCTGACAAATCAACATTGGTATGCCTCCATCAACTAAACTTGAGAGTTCATTTACATTTCACCAGTTTTTCCATTAATGTCCTCTTTCCACCCCAAGATGCAATCAGGCAAACCCCACTGCCTCTTGTTGCCGTATCTCCCTGGTGTCTGGTTCATGGCAGTTTTTTAGTCTTTGATTGTTTTTCATGCCACGTACGTTTTTTTATAAATTGAATTTGGAAATTGGGAGATTTTACATAAAACCCAGCTCTCCGGCTTCTCTATAAAGAGAAACATCAGGCTGCCCACCCTCCCCCACAACAAGGGACAACAAAGGACCAGAGCTGAGCAGTGGCTGCCACTTTAGCTGAGCCATGGGCTTCCTCTGTCCGCCACAGTCCCCACCACTCCCTATTGTCTCTCCAACACTGAGGCCAAGTATCTGCTGCCATTCATCACTGCGTTCATGCAGAATATTTCTCGGGATGTGAGTCTCTAGGAAAAGTGAGAAAATAACAGACCAAGGGGATTGTGCATTCTATGAAAAACTGTTAATACCTAGCCCATCTCCCTCTTTCAAGTCTCTTGCTGCCCCCAGCTCTAGTCCAAGATGCTTTTAACAGCAGAGATTATTGCCCTGCTCATCCTGGTATTCCCAGGCCCTGGTTTTATACTTGGTGGTTAGGAAACATGTGACCAAGTGAACCAAGGTCCCAACCATCCACCTTGGTCACTATCAGATGTACACGGCAATGACATTTCATAAGAGCAAAATGTTGTCAATAATCTAAAACTCCATCAATGGGAAAACGGTTAGGTAAACTGTGGTCCCTACCCATAGGATCAATATTAAAATACCTGCACATGTTGGGCTTCTAAGTAAGAAAATACTCAAGTGATAATAAGAAGAGAAAAAGTAGGCTAAAGATATATACACCCTAAGACTAAGCAATTTCACTCCTAAGTGTATGCCTGACAGGTATGAATACACACGTCCCCTAAGAAGGCAGACCCAAGAGTCTTCACAGCACTGTTCGTAATAGCCAGCAACTGATGGATACAGAAATTGTTTTATGTTCACACAATGCAATACTATGCAGCTATGAAAAGGAACAAATTATAAATCCAAACCACAGTATAGCGAAATCTCACCAATTTTAAACCAAAGTCAGACACAAAAAGAAGTATAGGAGCAGCACTGTTCAGTCACCAAAAGGCAGAAACCACCCAAATGTCCATCACTGAATGAATGGATAAACACGTGGTACATCCATTCAATGAAACATGACTTGACCTTAGACAGGAATGGAGTACTGAGCTATGCTACAATGTGGGTGAACTTCCAAAACACTAGGCTAAGAGAAAGAAGCCAGACACAAAGGTCACATATTATATGGTTCCATTTATATGAAACATCCAGAAGAGGTAAATCCACAAAGACAGGAAGCAAACTGATGGCTGTCGGAGACTAGGAGGAGGAGCTGCTGGGGAGCGACTCATGGATACAGTGTCTCCTTTGGGGGTGATAAAAATGTTCTGGAACCAGACAGAAGTGGTGGCGGTATAATACGGTGACTATACTAAACACCACGGAATTGTTAACTTTTTTTTCTTTGAGACGAAGTCTCACTTTTGTTGCCCAGGCTGGAGTGCAATGGCGAGACCTTGGTTCACTGCAACCTCTGCCTCCTGAGTTCAAGCAATTCTCCTGCCTCAGTCTCCCAAGTAGGTGGGATTATAGGTGCCTGGCTAATTTTTGTATTTTTAGTAGAGACGGGGTTTCACCACGTTGGCAAGGCTGATCTCAAACTCCTGACCTCAGGCAATCCCGCCCACCTCAGCCACCCAAAGTGCAGGCATGAGCCACTGCACCCAGCCCTATTCGATTATTATTATTATTATTATTATTATTATTATTTTTGAGACACAGTCTTTGTCACCCAGGCTGGAGTGCAGTGGCGCTATCTTGACTCTTGACAATCTCTGCCTTCCCGATTCAAGTGATTTTCCCGCCTCAGCCTCCAGAATAGCTGTAATTACAGGAGTGCACCACCAGCCCAGCAAATTTTTTTTGTATTTTCAATAGAGACAGGGTTTCACTATGTTGAGCCGGCTGGTCTCGAACTCTTGAGCTCAAGTTATCTGTCTACTTCGGCCTCCCAAAGTGCTGGGATTACAGACATGAGCCACCATACCCGGCCAATTGTTCACTTTAAAATGGTTATTTTTACATATGAGAATTTCATCTCTTAAAAACAAGAGTACACTGTGAATGATTCCATTTATATAATGTTTACAGAAGGAACTGGATGTGATTTCTACTGCTGACCAAATTGGAGTCATGAAGACTGGGTTCAACCTCCCACAGGGAGCAGCTGGTAACCCAGATGGTCAACAATGGTCTCAAGACATAGACATCAGGCAACCCAAGACGATACACTCCAAGAGATGGAAACAAGCGAGATGAGCACAGTTTCCCACCTGGAGTCAGTGTCCAGGCTGCAGCACAAGGAAGGGGAATGGAGGCTGAGCTGGGGGACTCCCTGAACTGAGGAGCTGGGGGTGTGGGGAGACCCTGGCAGCTGGACTTGTAGGGCAGGGTACCAGAAAGCAGAGAGCTGAACAGAGAGCATGCTCAGAGGTCTGCAGAAGGTCCTACGAGAATCTCTGTAACATCCCATCGGGCAAAAATGTCTGAGCTGTAACAGTCGAAGCACTATCAGTCAAAGAAACTAATAAACTTGACTTCATCAAAATAAAGACTTCCTGCTATTGTTTGAAAGACACCATTAAGAGAACAAAAAGACACACCATAGACTGGGAGAACATATTTCTGAGTTACATGTCTAATGAAGAACTTGTTTCTGGTCAGGCGTGGTGGGTCACACCTGTAATCCCAGCACTTTGGGAGGCTAAGGCAGGAGGATCGCTTGAGGCCAGGAGTTCAAGATCAGCCTGGGCAACACAGTGAGACCCCATCTCAACAAAAAGAGAAAAAAACTTCGCCAAGTGTGGCAGTACTGCCTACAGTCCCAGCTACTCAGGAGGCTGAGGCAAGAAGATCACTTGTGCCCAGCAGGTCAAGATTGCAGTGAACTATGATTACACCACTGCACTCCAGCCTGGATGACAGAACCAGACCTCAACTTTAAAAAAAGAAAGAAAAGAAAAAACTAACAACATGTTTCTGGAATATAGAAAGAATTCTCAAAACTCAATAATAAGAAAACAAGCCAACAAAATAAGATGAGCAAAAGATTTGAATGTACATTTCACCAAAGAAGACGTACAATAGCAAATGAGCATGTGAAAAGATGATCAATGTCATTAGTCATTAGGGAAATGCAAATTAAAGCCACAAGATACAACAACACATTACTGGAATGGCTAAAATTAAAAAGTCTAACCATACCAAGTGTTGGTGAGGATGTAGAGAAATTGTAACTTTCACATACTGCTGGTGGGAATGCAAAAATAGTACAACCACTTGGGAGAATGGTTCAGCAGCTTTAAAAAAATTAAACATATACCTACCATATGATCCAGTCACACCTACTAATTATTCAAGAGAAACAAAACCACATGCCTAAAGACTTGTACACAAATATTCATAGCAGTTTTATTTTTAATAGCCAAACCCTGGAAACAACTCATATGTCGACCAACAGGTGAATGGAGAAACAAACTGTGGTATATCTATGCAATGGAATACCACTTAGCAATAAAAAGAAACAAATTATGTTATAATCTATAACATGGGTGAGTCTCAGAATAATTATGCTGAATAAAAGAAGCCAAACAAAAAAAGAGTACATGCTTTTTTAAAAAAGGACATGTTGGCAAGCGCAGTGGCTCACACCTGTAATCCCAGCACTTTGGGAGGCCAAGGCAGGTGGAATGCTTAAGCCCAGAAAGGTTGATATCAGCCTGGGCAACATAGTGAGACCCCATCTCTACAATATTTATTTTTTTAAAAACTAGATAGGCATGATGGCACATGCCTATAGTCCCAGCTACTCTGGAAGCTGAGGTGGAAGGACTGCTTGAGCCTGGGGGGCAAAGGTTGCAATGAGCCAAAATCACGCCATTGCACTCCAGCTTGGGTGACAGAGTGACAGTTTTCAAAAAAACAAAAAAAAAGGACTTGTTGTGTCATCTAATTTACATAATATTCTAGAAAATGCAAACAAGTCTACGGTGACAGAAAGCCTCTCGCTAGTTTCTGGGGACAGAGGAGAAGCAGGAGGAAGGGTTTTTTTTTCGCTCTGTCGCCCAGGCTGGAGTGCAGTGGTGCGATCTCGGCTCACTGTAAGCTCCGCCTCCTGGGTTCACACCATTCTCCTGCCTCAGCCTCCTGAGCAGCCGGGACTACAGGCGCCCACCACCTCGACCTGCTAAATTTTTTGTATTCTTAGTAGAGACAGGGTTTCACTGTGCTAGCCAGGATGGTCTCGATCTCCTGACCTCGTGATCTGCCTGCCTTGGCCTCCCAAAGTGCTGGGATTACAGCCGTGAGCCACCACGCCCGGCCGGAGGAAGGGATTATTAAGGATCTGGAAGAGACTTTTGGGGGTGATGGGTGTATTCATAAGCTTTATCATGGTGATGATCTCATGAGTGTGTACATGGCTCAGAATGTATCAAATTGTTCACCTTAACCGTGTGGTGCCATTCACCTTAACTGTGTGCTGCTGCTCACCTTAACCATGTACTACTGTTCACCATGTGTCAATTAGATCTCAGCAAAGCTCATTTTAAAAAAGTAGAACGAACTGATGCTGCCAGAAGTCAGAAGAGTGGTTACCCCTGATTAAGGATGGGTGTTAACAAGAACAGGAAGACAAAGGGGAGGCTGGGAGCTGAAGACGGTCTGGGTGCTGGTGATGTGGGTGTGTTGAGGTGGTGGACAGGCAAGCTGTACACTTACAACTTAGGGATGTTCCCATGCATAGGATCTATTTCAAGCAACAGTTTTTCCAAATAAAGCCAGTTGACTACTCAGATTTGAACCAGCCACTCAGTTCTGTAAGGAGGGGACGGGGTCAGAGTTCACAGATACCCAAGTCTCGGGTTCAAAAGCCCAAGCATGAAGCGAGGTGGCCTGCCTGGGGGAGTAGGGTGGGTGTGGCCACCTCCCTTACCTTCTGCTGTAGGTCTCTCATCCTTCTGTCTCTGTCTCCTGGACACTCGGGGCTGGCTGGCTGTGGTACAGGCCCTGGTTTTGGCCCTGGGGGCTTCTCTGGCTTGGCCTCTCTCCCGTCTTCCTGGCTCCAGAATGACTTCCTGCCAAACAGCCTGTGAGCAATTTCCTCAGCATTTTCCAGCCGGAGCCCAAGCTGGGAAGGGAAGCCAGGGGCTCAGGGAGGAACAATTCAGTTACAGGGGTGATGATGAGCTGTCAGGCTGGGGATATGAATGGGGGAACCAGAGGCTTGAGCAGGCCACTCCAGGCTCCCTGGTGCCCACCTAGGCTTAGGTTCAGGGACACGACCTTGGGAAATCCATCACTCTCTGTACCTGCTTGGTAGACACCACACAGGAAGAATTCTTCCCAATTCTTTAAGGCTTGGATGAAATGTCACCACCTCTGGGAAGCCCTCCCTGAACTCCCATGTCACTCTCTTCCCACCTCCTCTGCCCCACACACAATACACTCAGACTGGAATCTGTGTCTTCCTCGAAAGATCCATGATGAGGCCAAGGACTCATGTCTCAATCACTAGGCACCTCCATGACCTGATCTGGGCGTAGAGGTTCTCAAAATTTGATAGGTGAATAAATGGATCCTTCCTTCTGTCCCTCCTGTCTTCCATCTGCCCATCCGTGCAACCCTCTGTTCACCTATCCTTTTGTCCTTCCAATCTATCCATCTATCTGTCTCTCCACCTTCCATCTTTTCTTTCCTTTGTTCTATCCATCCTTATTCCTATCCATCCATCTACTTTTCCTTTCTTATGGACCTCTCTCCTTTCATCTATTCTTTCTTCCCTCTTTCCATCTAGACATCTGTGATAGCATTTTCAGAGAAGTCACCAGAGACCAGCCCTTGGCAATGACTGGTAAGTGGGTGGATGGATAATGGATGGAAGTGTGACTCAGAGGATGGACTGATGGATGAATGTGGGTAGACATGGATGGCTAAGTGAATGAAAGATGGATGAGTAGGAGAACAGATGAATAGATGGGTAGGTTAGACAGTAGACAGAGAGATGGATGGGAAATTACATGGATGGATGGACAGACAGATGGGTAGGGTGGGTACGTCCATGGATGGGTAGGTGGGTGGACAGATGAATAAGTGAATGGATGGATGGTGGGTGGGTGGTTTGATAGGTGGATTAATGAATGAGTGAATAGATGGATGGGTGGATGGATGGATGGGTAGGTGGGTGGATGGATCATGGGTGGGTAGATGGATTGATGGATGATGGCTGGATAGATGATGGGTGCGTGGGTGGGTGGGTGGATAGATGGATGATGTGTGGGTATGTG